AAGCATATATTATTAACAATCAATTCAAATAAATGAGAGTTCACAAGGTTACATCATCCCCCAACAACAAATAGAAGTTAGTTCTCCATTGTCATGGTGAAATTAGATGTACAATGGAGAAGAATGAGATAGAAAAACCCTAAAAGTTGAAGATGGAGGCTCCCGCATCCAAATCCACCTTCAGAGAGTGGAAGAGTGTGTTATTGCGCCTCCTGTGCCAAAGATACCAAACCTAGGGCGTCTGGGTCCTTTAAATAGAGTAGAGTTAAAACAGAAACAAAGCCCAGGCCCATCATGCTGGCGCTCAGTGCCCCACTTAGGGCGCTCAGGCGTGCTGCGATACTAAAACTGGTGCTCAGCTTCACTCGGAGGGCAAGCATGCATGGTTCTTCAGGAAAAGTGGCGCTCAGCGCCCCAAAAAGGGCGCCCAGGCGGTGTGCGGTAGGCTTTGGCGTTGAGGGCTCCAAAAAGGGCGCTTAGGCTTTGGGTGTTCTTAGTTTCTAGTGCATTTTCAGATCTTTATGAGCTCCATCTCCTTGGCACTTCAGCTTTGCTTCCATATTATCTCATTTCCTGCCAAAGCAAGGGAATTTAGTCATAAAATCATAAAGTTCAACCTTAACTCTCTTATTCACACAACTTAATAGAAAAACATGATTTCAAGGAAGTTTATAAGTAGAAAAGGGTGCATTTAGTATCAAAATCACATCACAGATAATGGTATTTTCAATCGTTATCACAACCCCAAACTTAGAACTTTGCTTGTCCTCAAGGAAAACAAAAGGTAACTCAGCTTTTCTCAACAATTACTACAATGGCTCAGCATATTTCAAAACTTTTTCTTCCAAGACAAGTAATCACTTTTATCAGCTCATCATAAAGATGTCAGTCAAGATGTACAAATTCCTTAATTCAATCAAACTCAATGTGATGCTCATGTACTTCAGCAGATGTTATCCTTAAGAATGATCAATCAACCAAGCAAAGATGAAATCATGAATTCAAAGAACTACTCCTCACCAAGGAAAGTGTTTCACTTAAGCACTCATAATGTAGTGTCACAGCAAGTATACCAAATCGTTTCAAGTAATACAGTGAATAAGTAAAAGAGTATCGTTCTCCCAAGGGAATTTGAGTTACGTTATTCAATTAAAATTATTTATCAAGATCAATTACTGATGATAACATTTGTGATTTCAATATGAAATTAAGCATGAAATTAACAATGTAAAAAAAATTAAGATTGAAAAATGCAATAAAAGATCACTGGAATTGGTCTTTGACTAAAATTACAGTAAAATCTTGGACAACATATATTCTCTGTTCAAGCATTCACATGAAAGTATCTTGGTTTAATTCCTTAAAACAAGTTCTAAAATTATCTATTGAATTATTAATTCCTTAATTAATTCATCAGATAATTTTGCATTGACTTCAGATGTTAAGAATGACCAAAAGCACAGAAACTATTCCTAGTGTAGTTACTTTTAGTTTCTTTTCTTACGTTTCTGGTTCTAAAAATACTTTCCAGTACAATTGAACTTTTAAAGACATTAATACTTCTGTATAATCAAAAGCAGGTCAAGAAAAGAACAAGAACAAAAACATTTATAGCACAGAAAATTTACATTAATGTTTCGTCATACCACTACAAAAATACATGGAATTATCGATGAAACTTTATCGACGAAATCGTTTCCATCAATAAAGGATGCATCTCAAACGTACTCTTCTCAGCAATTCCAATGAACAAAAAATTTAGCCTATCCTAGACATCTCAAACGTACTTTTCTTAGCAATTCCTTGTAGAAAATGAAGTCTTGGTATCTTGAAAGGTCTCCTGATCGGCTCCTGAGTTCTCCAGTATTTTTCTCGTTATTTTCGTGTGTCAGAAGATGGTTTCTGCCTTTCTGTCACATCTTTTAAATCCACTTAATTTCATTAATTCGCTCAGCGCACATGTGTGTGTTATTCGCACAACGCACAAGTATTGGTGCGCTATGCGAATTTTCGTTTCCTGGCAGTGCGAATTTTGGCTTGCGCTATGCGAGAATTGGCTGACAGACTCCCAATTATACATCCTTTTCTGTACAATAATTTACATAACAATCTACTTCCTATTACAACATTTCACTAAGTAATAACATGAATAATTAGAAGATTGAGATCATTTATAAGTGTAAAAACAACTCTTTTTCACACTTATCAACTCTCCCAAACTTGAACTATTTCATGCCCTCAGGAAATCACAGAAAGAAATTGAACAACACAACACAAAAGACATTTGACATTTTGGTAGAATGACTTTGCACATCAGAAAAAATCATATGCATTCCCAAAGATTTCAACAAGTATGACATGGTGCATCACTCACAAAATCACCTGTGCATAGAATATGAAAAACGAGATCAACATTTATCATTACTTACACTCAAGTGTTTGTCCTCACATGACAGTAGAATTGTCATAGAACTTCATCAGCTTTTGCATTTCATTTGATTCACAAACTTCACACACTATTGGTTATGTCCAAAGGTCTTTTCAGGTTAAAGCTTGGCTTGGCTAGAAAAATAATCATGGTTTTTCTTGGATTCAAAGACACTTATTAAGAAGAGAACAACTTCAATTCCCAACCAGTACTCAAATCCCACACTATATTATTCATCACATACCATTTTCTTTCACAACTCAACCTTCTTTTTCATTTTGAGCATCATTTGTAATTTATTATTATTATTATTATTGATCTTTTCTTCCCCAGACTTGAATTCAACCTTAATTTTCATGTTCACTTCTAAGGTGTAAGGTAGGATCACACAATAGGCTCAAGGTGAAAGAAATAAATCAAGGCTCAAAGAGGGTTTACAAATGAAACACAATGTCTAAAGGTTGGCTATCTGGCCAAGTAGTTGTATAATCAATAATAAACAGGGCCTTTTTCATCCTTAACCAAAAAGTGTGTGTATATACGTAGAAGCAAAATCATGCAAAAACCAATTCCATATCTAGACAACTCAATATCTCTCAATAAATATATGCTCTCAACACTCACATATCTGGTCATATTCATACACAGATAAAAATTTTTGAAGCACAGCCACCACAAACATGCATGTCATCATCCTCAAGAATCACATAAGTTAATCAGACAATGCCAAATCATTAAATCAAAACAAATTGTCTTTACAACCACAAACATAAATCAACTAAACAAAGTTCCACATACGAACAACTGAACTCAAATACAAAATGACAATCAACATAAACAACAGGAGTCGCTCTACCACGACCCATCAGATCTTGATCTCCACTGGCTCTCCTGTGAATGATAACTCTGCTGTGTCCATCTGGGATCTGGCTCCTCTTCCTCCTCATCACCATCGCCTGCCATCATGTCCTCCTACTCATCTAGCTCTGACTCTGGTGCTCCTGGATAAGCACTCCCCACCTGGACTCAGGTCTGCTGATAACAGTTGAAAAACTGTTATTTTCATGCTTAAAATTGATACTAAAAGCAACCTTTAACACTTACAAATTAGCTTGAAATCGTGCTTTTGTTTATGTTTTTGGAAATAAGAGAGCTGGACAGGTTTATGCTTGATTTTAGTGTTTTATGCAGGTTTTAAGGTGAATTTGATGAAAGAAGTGAAGAAGTATAGAGATGGAATCAGAAAAGAACTCAAAAAGTGCAAAAGAAGAGAAGCCACAACTACCACTCAATGCCAGTTTACCGTTGAGCGGCACTAATGAACTCCCGTTGGCTCCGCTGAGGGGTAAAAATGCCGTTGAGGGGAAGAATCAACTCACGCACTTACCGCTGAGCGGCACTATTTTGGGTTTAGGCCCACTTTTCTATAATATTTCGAATAGTATATAAGCTTTAGGACTTCCTAGAGTTTGTATCTTTGGCAGAGTACGAAGCAAACACTCACTTTTCAACCCCTTGGAGGAAGATCTTGGATGCTAAGGCTACCTACTCAACTTTCTAGGGTTCTATCTTTCATTCTTTCATTATTGTTCATCTAGTTTCACCATGAATATGGTGAACTAAACTTTGTATTGTTGTTGGGAAATCAATGTAATCTTATGAAGCTCTCATTATATGGAATTTTGTGTTTAAACATCATATTTATGATACATGCGTTCTTTCATCATTAGTTAGGGTTTTTCTTCTTTGCTCAAAGCATACATTGTTTAACTCATTCAATGTCATGATTATTGATTTTGTCGATATGGGAACATACGGGGAAATCTAGATCTGGGGAAATTCTCCCAATAGCATATTGCCTGGACATAGGGATATGAGGGTTGGTTGCCTTTAAGCTTCTATGCTTCAAAATTTATTATTAGGGATGCTAGGAATTGTATGAACTCGTAATTAAGGATATGCTTTTTCGCAAGGTGATTTAGAGAGTGACATTAACATTGATGAAAAGAATGATGAATTCCTAAAATATATGAGAGTGGATAAGATGAAATTGATTACCCCAACAACATAATCATCCATATAATTCATTCAGTGTTTGTGTTCTTCTTTCCCATTGATCATCACATGCATACATGTTTACTTTTTGTCTTTTTCATTTGAAACTTACAACAATTTGTTCACAAGTCTTAAATAATCAAGAAATCATATAACTAACTAGGCCGTGAGTCTTTTGGGAGAACGATACTTGGTCTTACCGAGTTTCTTCTTTCCCTTCCTGCTCTTCACTGGATTTTTCTTTTTCATCCTCCTTTCTCACAACTACACTTTCGAACACTTTACCACTCCTTGTAGTAACAGCTTTACAATGCTCTTTTGGATTTGGTTCAGTGTTAGCTCCAAATGTATTTACAGGCTTGTCTTCTAATTTCTTAGCCAACTGACCAATTTGAACTTCTAAATTCCTTATAGAAGATATTGTGCTCTTTTGGTTTGATATGGACATTTGCATGAATTGCTGCAAAGTTTCTTCAAGTTTGGATGTCCTATCAGAAAGAGTAGGTTGTTGTTGAAACTATTGTTGTGGTGGTCTACTAAAACTAGCCTGACCCATGCTAGGATGAGGTCTCCATTCTTGATTATAATTTCCATAGTTGCCCGAACGGCCTTGATTTCCCATGTAATTAACCTCTTCCTTTTCATTGGACTGAATATCACACTGTTCATTTTGGTGCTCTCCACCACACAATTCACAACCTTGCATAGTTTGATGATGTTGTGCCCGTGATACAGTTTGGAGTTCCTTTGGTAGTTGTGACAAATTTTTCATTACTGATTCAAGCTGTTGAGTCATGATTTTATTTTGGGCTAATAAGGCATCTTGGGATTTCAATTCAAACATGCCTTTCTTTTGCGTTTGCACTCTCTCACTTTGGACATCATTATCACTAGATGCCATATTTTTAATTATTTCATGTGCCTCGTCAGGTGCCTTCCACCTAATGTTACCTCCAGCAGAGGCATCTAGCATAAATTGAGTGGGAATGTCAAATCCATGAATTGGAGTTTTTCTCAGCAACCCCTTGAACCTCTCCCATGTTTGACTCAACGACTCTTCAGGCTCTTGTTGAAAGAAGGATATTTCTTGTTTGCCTTTATTGATCTTGTATTGAGGGAAATATTTATTCAAAAATTTTGCCACAACGTCATCCCAAGCAGCCAAACCTTTAGGAAAAGAATTTAGCCAAAGCTTTGCATTTCCAGCCAAAGAAAAGGGAAATAAACTCATTCTGATTGCTTCATCTGGCACATGTAAAATTTTTACAATGTTACAAATCTCATTAAAAGTTGTCAGATGATCGTAGGGATTTTCGTGTGACATTCCTGTAAATTGATTACTTTGAACAAGGTGAATCAGTGTTGGTTTCATTTCCATATGAGCAGCATTCACCACAGGTCGATCTATACTGTTGAAAGATGAAGGTATAGACACAGAAGCATAATCTTCCAACGTACGCCTAACTCTTGGTTGTTCCTCCTCATTATTTCCCTCCATATCCTTATCCTTTTGATCAGATGAAGAAAAAGTGTTGAAAATAGCAGACAAGCTAGCTTCTCTAGCTTTTTTTTTCTATTTTCTCTCCTACGTCTACTGTTATTCCTACATACAGTTCTCTCAATCTCAGAATCAAAAAATAAATTTTTAGATATTATTCTCCTTCTCATACAGAACAACAATCTCAAGATATCAACCCAAAGAAATAACAGCAGAAACAAAACACAACGTATATATACAGATATACAAAAATTAAAAACAATGGATTTAAAGATAATGGAACAGAATTGAAATTGATAAACAATGAATGACTGAAATAACAATAACAATCAAATTCTCCGACAACGGCGTCAAAAACTTGATAACTTTTTGGCAAGTATACCAAATCGTTTCAAGTAATACAGTGAATAAGTAAAAGAGTATCGCTCTCTCAAGGGAATTTACATTATTCAATTAAAATTATTTATCAAGATCAATTACTGATGATAACATTTGTGATTTCAATTTGAAATTAAGCATGAAATTAACAACGTTAAAAAAATTAAGATTGAAAAATGCGATAAAAGATCACTGGATATGGTCTTTGACTAACATTACAGTAAAATCTTGCACAACATATATTCTCTGTTCAAGCATTCACATGAGAGTATCTTCGTTTAATTCCTTAAAACAAGTTCTAAAATTATCTATTGAATTATTAGTTCCTTAATTAATTCATCAGATAATTTTGCATTGACTTTAGGTGTTAAGAATGACCAAAAACACAAAAACTATTCCTAGCATAGTTACTTTTAGTTTCTTTTCTTACGTTTCTGGTTCTAAAAATATTTTCCAGTACAATAAAACTTTTAAAGAGATTAATACTTCCGTATAATCAAAAGCTATTCAAGAAAAGAACAAGAACTTAAACATATATTGCACTGGAAATTTACATTAATGTTTCGTCATACAACCAATTCCAATGAACAGAAAATTTAGCCTATCCTAGACATCTCAAACGTACTCTTCTCAGCAATTCCTTGTAGAAAGTGAAGTCTTGATGTCTTGAAAGGTCTCCTGATCGTCTCCTGAGTTCTCTAGTATTTTTCTGGCTATTTTTGTGTGTCAGAAGATGATTTCTGCCTTTTTGTCACGTCTTTAAAAGTCACTTAACTTCATTTATTCGCTTAGCGCACAAGTGTGTGTGCTATGTGAATTTCTTGTAATTGATGTTATTCGCACAACGTACAAGTATTGGTGCGCTATGCGAGTTTCCGTTTCGTGGTAGTGCGAATTTTGGCTTGCGCTATGCGAGAATTGGCTAACAAACTCCCAATCATACATTCTTTCCTGTATAATAATTTAGAAAAAAATCTACTTCCTGTTACAACATTTCACTGAGTAATAACATGAATAATTAGAAGATTGAGGTCATTTATAAGTGTAAAAATAATTTTTTTCACACTTATCATAAATATTACCAATTACATTTTTACTGACAAATATTTATTTGTCATAAATTCATCCAAAAAAAGTTGTTATTAATAAATTTTTTATGTTTGATATGATTTTGACTATCACTAGTACAGGAGAAACAAATGGCCTCGGTTATTTTTGGTCATAGGCCCCGGTTTAGAAACCGAGGCATAAAAGAACGAGGTAAAAAGTCTTCTTTTTATGCCTCGGTTTACAACCGAGTTAGTATTTTGACTTATATTGTCTCAGTTTAAACCTGAACCGAGGCAGTAAAATATTTTTTTTTATTTTTTTTATTTTTGCCACATCGTGGAGTACAGGGAAGCATTTTTTTTCTGGACATTGTGGAGCACAGGAAAGCAGAAGTGGGAAGCAGCGATGGGATGCAGAAGTGTGTTCAATCCCTTCATCCCTTCATCCCTTCATCACCTGAAAACACCAGAAAACAGCCCAAGCTTTACCGAAAATCCCTTCATCCCTTCAATCCCTTCATCACCGAAAATCACCCAAGACCAACCCCTTCAATCCCTTCATCACCGAAAATCACCCAAGACCAACCAAGAGTTTAAGCAAAAAATAAAAGTTCAAGATCAAACAAAAAATAAAAATAATGCGTTCCCTGCACACACGCTTTAGCCACCCAGAAAACCCTCTCCCTCTGATACTCTCCAATGGTGTTTTCGGTCTTCGATTCCACTTGCGACCCAAATAGCAAGAAAGAACAGCCAGAATTACAAGCACAGACATCACAGCAAAAAATGGACCAACAGATCTGAAGACTTCCATGCGCTAGAACCAGTACTGCTCGGAACAGCTTCTCCCTCACCTTGTTCCTGCTCTGACTGCACCATTGAAGCCAGTGCTGGTGTTGCCATGGTGGACTTGGTAGTGGCGACGGCGGGGAGGCAAGGACCAGTGACGATGATGAAGAACAGGCGAGCGGTGGTGTGGCGTGGCGGTGGTGAACAGCGAGCAGAGAGGTTTTGCGGGAAGAGAGGTTTTGCGGGAAGGACGACGGGGGCGGTGGTGCGGTGGCAGGGGGAACTGAGACGAAGGGGCGGTGTTGCGGTGGCGTGGCGGCCGAAGCAAAAAGCAGTGGTGAAGAGGGAGCAGAGAGGTTTTGCGGGAAGGAGGGAAGGGAGGTTTTGCGGGAAGAAGAAGAGTGAAACTGAAAAAGTTTTGAACTTTAACCCTAAAACGAGGCAAATATAGGCCTCGGTTAATTTCCAACCGGTGCCGTATACCTTTTTCAAAAGCGGATTTAAAAGAACCGGTGCAGTATATTATTTTTCAAAAGCGGGTTTAAAAAAATCGGTGCAGTATACCCTTTTTAAAAACGGGTTTAAAAGAACCGAGGCATATAGTGTCTCCAAAATTACATTTCTGCCACCGCATTTTTATATGCCTCGGGTCTTCAAAAACCGAGACATAATACGCGATTTAAAAACCCTGTTTTTTACTAGTGTATTAATATTAATAATGTCGTTTTTTAATGAGAAAAAAGAAAATTAGAGAAAAAAAATATTTGAAATTGACACATCGTTATTTTCTAATGTTGTTATAACAATTATGTAACGAAAATGACTATATTATCTTTATTTAAAAATAAATAAAAACTCAATAAAAAAGATGAAAAAATAAAATTATAAAATTATAATTCTAAATAAAAAGATCACCACATTACAAATTAGACATTTTCCTTTCTTATTTTCTTAGTTAATAAATATTTTATACAAAGAAAGCCCCACAACAAAAAGACGTGACCAAGTTGGCATAGAAGAGCTTTATTATATTTATGACCAACATGGAATACACGACACGACAGTGAAACATTTCATGAATCATGACATGCATGTACTTCAATTAGGTCATAGTAAGACTGATTACTGATGACTACACGCACTCATCAAATGTCTACTAGCAAGTTGCGAATAATATTTTTAATTTTGTGTGTGGAAATAATTTATCTATGCAAATTGAGATCCTAAATGTATTCAATATAGACCTTATTTGTAATATACTCAATAATATTTGACATCTTTAAGTTTAAACTCAAAATTATTTAACAAGCTATTGATGTAGAATGCACTTACTAAATCTTACGTTAAAGACGAAAACTAATGATTAAAAGATTAATTAGTGAAAATCTTTCATAAACATACTGGGAAGGGATTGGGTCGCAGAAACACGCAAACAGGTTGCAGTGCAGGCAAAAATATTAAATGTCAGGACTATTTATAACCTCAATCCATCTTTGTATAATATAAAATCGACTTTTAGTACATAATTTTTTTGCATAAATTTTTCATCTGAATTAAATGTCAGTTAAAATTCGTCCAACCATAGATAATGTAACTACGAATTCCGTCAATTCTCTTGTGAAATAGATTTATTTAGCATAAAACTTTCTGGTGGATGTATTCTTTGCTTGCATGTGTTTTCTTATGCTTTCGGGTCTTATTTGTCTATCATTGTGCTTTTAAGTGTAATCAAATTTTGTTTGGATTTTCTTTTAACTGAGATATTAAGTCTGGTTTTTGTTTCGATTTTTCTAAAGTGAAATTTTTGAGTTACAATCCATTCATGATTACTACTAAATGTAAGACCTCGAAAATTTAACTCTGCAAACTCTCTGTCAAATCATAATTAATACACCACGTCATTTACACAGAGCCATTAAAACCCACTCTGCACTACATGCATAAGCGCCACTTGTCATGATAGAAGTTTCTGAAGTCAGTAGTGGGAGTGCAGGTGTTGACAGGGGAACGCTCGTCCGTTTGGACGTGGATTGAACAAAACTGATTTTTTGAAAAAACCCTCCCACTCACCTGCACGCACCCTTCTTCTTCCTCAGAATCAGACTTCTCGTCTTCTCCACCTTCTCTCTAGAAAACCTCCATCTTCTCTCTACTGTAACTCACCACCCTCTTCTCCGATCAACTTTCGGAAACCGTAGGAGTGTTCGCTGAGCTGTGAGCTACAAGTTGGACCGAACAATTTCAAAAGCTGAAACTGGTAAGTTCTCCCTTGGTAGTTCGTTCTTAGGTCTCCTTAAAAACTAAGTTTTTGACTGCATGCAAGTGGGTAGTCTAAGTACCTCAAGTTTCTTACGTATAGATTGGATCGAAAGGGATTAGTGACTGTTAAAGGGGAAAACGTTAGCTGGTCGAGCCACACTTCTTACATATAGAACGATTCAGTCTCAAATCCGGGTAAGGGAAGCTTATTAATTTAATTAATACTTGTATGTTGTATGAAAGCATGATATGGACTGGATGTATGAGATGTATATGGTTTGCTTATGTATGAACGATCGTTGTTGTAATGAATATGGTATATGTTGGTTGAAATGTATGTAAATGATTGATACGTATGAAATGGAAAAATGGATGGTTATTGTAGAGTATGAGTTGTTAATATGATGAATTCTATAAAGTATGTGAATTAATGATGGATATGAAATTATAAGGTATGAATTGTATGAGAAATGTTGAGTTAAGATAGATGAAAAATCTGAATGTAAAGTACTCCCTATGATAAAA